CTGGTTTATTCCAGGCTGGAGGCTGCCTGCCCTGCGCTGTGTTTATCCAGCCTCGGTGAGCTCATCCTCACCCGTCCCCCCAGCGCTGCCGTGCGCTGCGTGAGCGGTGGGGAAACAGCGCTTGTAATTAAAACTCTGCTATAAACTGCCCTTCATTAAAACAATAACAAAGAAGTTTGGGAGAGAAAGCCACATGTACACTTGTGGTTTAAAGAAAATAAAAGGCTCCTCCCAGCCCTTCTTTCTAACCAGATAGGAGCCTGGCAGGTCCCGGTTATATTCCAGTAAATGTTCAGGATATGGTGTACCCAGAGGTTTCTGCCGAGAACCGAGAGCTCCAGCGTGCGGCCGTGGGGAAGAGCCCGGCCCCGCTGCCCGCAGAGCCCTGCGGGGAGCTTTGCTGCGCTGCTGGTCCAGCTCTCCTCGGGCATCGGTTTAAAAAAAAATCCTCCCAAGCATTTTGGAACTGCAAGAGCCCTAAAAGCTTAAAACTTCCCAGCCGACTCCTTGGGTTTTGTGTCTTTGTCCTTACACAGCCATCTTCTCTTTCGCCCCAGCGGTTTGGCCGGGGGGGGTTGCTCTGCGCAGCCCCGCTGGTCACCGGTGACGGCCTGGCCGGGCTCGGCAGGGAGAGCTGCCGAGGGCAAGGGGCTTCTCGCTGCCAGGGCCGGGGATTCAGCTCTCATCCGACGGCTTTCTGTGGCTTGACCAAGGCGAGAGCGCCTCAGCACCGCAGCTTGGCTTGCTCGTGTGAGCTGCTGGCAGGGAGAGAGCTCTCGATGCCTTCGGTGATGTGGACAACTACTGCAAAGGAAATACGTGCACCTTTCCTTGCCAACCAGAACGGTATTATTAATTTTTGATATTGCAGTTTGCCCTATGGCAGATAGCCTGCAGCACTTTACAACAGTAGCATTTACAAACCCGGCGCTTTTTGGTGAGCGAGTCCTGCCAGCTTCCTAAGATGAACTTTGATGCCAATTACGGAGAACGGACGTGCTCCTAGAAAGGCAGTGGGACGTGCAAATGGTACGACGGGTGTTGGCATCTGCGTGGGCAGTTCAGCCCAGCAGCAGGTCCCCAATGTCCCGTGGGCTGGAGCCGCCGGCATCACCGACTGCAGGGAATGGGGACGGGCAAGAGGAGACTGCGGCCGCGGATGGCCCGTTAAATCTTTGTGACACGCAGGTGCACGCAAAGTGCCTTGCAACTGCTTCAGCAGACAATAAGCTATACTTGTTTTCAGAAAAAAAGTGTATGGTAACCTGAGGGCGTTTCTAAAGCCGTAGGTCACAAAATAACTCACCCTCGCCTGATTCTTGCCTCTGTTGGGCTTTTGCATGCTGGAGGAATTTAATTTGCTGCATAAGGGGAGAGGGAAGTTCCCCAAAGGCAAGGGGACACTGTGTGCAGAACAAACAGATGAAATCCGTTCTGCACACAGAGGAATCTGGGCCCGACCTCCCGCCCCGGCTCACGACTTGACGCGTGAAGAGGCGCAGCTGCAGCGCGCTGCTGGGAAACGTTGCGTTTGCACAGCCCGCTATTGTGCTGAACCTTCTAACCCAGAGCAAAGGCAAAGATACCTTAGAATTATGTGCGGTGGCTGCGCGTGTGTAGGATGCGAGGCTGCTCCTAAGCCTTTTTTCCAGCTGCCAGCTTGCTGCGTAAGCCAGCTGTGCTGCAATTAGCGCTTTGGTCCTGTACGGTCTGCCTGCCTGCTATTATTTTGATAACCAGTTTCAGATTTAATACTTCTGCAGCTGCGGAATGGCATGCATACCGTGCCTCCCCGGGCTCTGCGCACAGGCTACAGGTGCGTTTGGCGCGTGTGCTGGCTCCTGGAAGGTGTGTTGCCACCAGGAGAAAAGAGAGCCTGGTACAGAGGCCGTCTCCTCCAGCTCCCCCCTTCTGGCTGATAGAGGCTGATAAAACCACCGGAGCGAGGAGGAACGCCAAGAAGCCCCGTCGGGTTTGCTTACTGTGCTGGTCGCTCCGGTCCCTGGTCCCATCCACTTTGCCATCTGGGAGGATCCGTAGGAAGTGGCCCCCGTTGCTGCAGTACAGGAGTTTGGGTTTCTTGTAGTTCCCCAGGGGAAGGTTGAACTTTTCGGTCAGGGCGGTGAAGGTGGTGATTTCCCCCTCGGCCATCTCTCAGCCTCTCTCGGCAGCCGGGCTGCAAGAGATGCGGCGGCGTTTGGCAGGGGCGGCGGCCCCGAGTGCTTGGCACCGGCTGCTGCTGCCAGGCTTTTAAAGGGAGGGGAGGGAGCCCGGTGGTCCCCGGCCGGTGCCCGGGCTGGCCGCGGGGCAGGTGATTCACACCGCGGGTGATGGCTCCGGCAGTGACACAGCCCAAAAGGTGATGCTCCCCCAGCGTGGGAGGTGGGGGGGGGCTGTCTCCTCACTGGGTGTAGCTGGGCGGTAGGGACGCTGTCCTTTTAATTTTATCATAGTAAATTCTGTTTTCTTTCTGCTTTCTATTGACGTACGTACTAAAATTATACACACACAAAAAATAGTTTGAAAAACACCCAGTGTCTGATTGAAACCCACAAGAGGCAGGAAAGGAGCCCAGGTTAATAACTCTCTCCGCTATTATAACTTTCAAACATGATTATAACTAGGTATTGCAACACACGCTGCATGCCAGATAGCAAGTATTACTTCATATCTTGGCACTCTGCGTCTCACCTGGCCGAGGCACACACTTGCTAAAGATCAGACCAAGCGGTAGCTGTTGTGGGGGATGAGCAGGGAGCAGGAGGCTGCCACTGCTCGGGCAGCAAGCAGGGAATTTACCCATGCACCGATCGACAGCATGTGGGGAAAAGGAACTCTGAGTCTGGATTATAGCAATACTGGCGAAAGCCACCAGTCTGCAGTCCAGCTTAAAATCTCTCTGTGTATCCATAGGAGATAAATAAGAGAAGACACTTTCTCTCACATACCTCCTCTGAAGTGGACGTGGTTTAGTGGTGGACTTGGCAGTGTTAGGTGTACGGTTGGACTCGATGATCTTAAAGGTCTTTTCCAACCTAAATGATTCTATGATTCTATGTTTGTGCACCTTTGCATCTCAATAAAAGTGGTTAAAAGGCAAAGGCAAAGCTCTGGCTGGTGCAGAAGGGTGTAAGTGGGCACGGGTGCTACCAGCTGCTCAGGAGCAACACGCACCACCTCGTGAGAGTGCTCCTTGCCACGGGGCTCCTCTGCTCTCCTGGGGGAGCGGGGAAATGCATGGAGGTCGTATTGAAACCTCGTTTGGCAAGACACTGTGCGGTCATGATCCGCGTTTAAGCAGATGCTGTGCCAAAACCTGAAGGCATCATCAGACGGGTAAGAGAAAGAGGCTGTGAACGTCGGAGGGTGAGAGCTGCCGTGGCCGTGGGATCAGGAGGTGCCGTGGGTGGGGACCAGCGTCCCACGCATAACCCGGGTATATTCAAATTTATGTGACTGTTTCTGGCCTAGAAACTGCATTTAAAATGTCCCATGAATATGCTGTCCTTCATATACAAAGTTCTGTAGTGCTTATAGAGAAGTGGATTTATGAACAGAAAAAGACATGGCACTGTATAAATCTAGATACAGGAAACGTCTTTAAACGTAATGTAGTCCTGTAGCTATATTATGGGAAGTATTATACAGTCACTGTTTATATATATTTACAGAGTGTAAAAATGTCTATTTAGTACTGAGTTGTGCTATTGGTACATTAGGATGGAGCCAGTATCATACTGCGTGGGTTTGCCGTGGTGCTTAGAGTGACCCGGGAGATATGAAGGACTGCGACTCTTGGCAATACAAACACGCACACGTATATATACATATCATCTCTAAACATTTGGCTGTAAGCTCTTAAGTATGTAAATTTGCAAATGCAGCTGCAAGGAGGGTAAACTATTCCTTCAAGTGGATCCCAAAAGCCTGCAGAAGATAAAAATGGGTGGAAGTTGGGTTGCTAAAAGCTGAAACCTTGGAAATAAAGACTTCATCGCTATTGCTGAAAACACACGCAGCCATTTCGACCAGCTTTGGTTAGTACGTAGACTTCATCCCCTGCTCTCAGGCGTGTCCCCTCGTGGTCTCTGTCAGAAAAGAGAGATTTCCTGGGAGAGGAAAACACAACCATAAAGGAAAAAATGCTCCCTGCCATCCCAGGCCTCAGTTCCTTCTGGTAGCTGTTGGTTCACGACAGCTTCTCTTTCCTCCTGACTATCAGCCCGTGTTTTGCTGCAGATGGAGGTGTTAAATCACTCATACAACAGCTGAACACAGAGTCAAGATGCAGGGACGTACTATTTTAAACTTTTCCCTGCTGCCCTTTCTCCCGAACCATTTCGATCTTGTTTGGTAAGTCACGTTTTCTGGACCAACGCCTACCAAGTGTTGCTTTGTCAGCCCGGCGCTCCCTCAGCTACATGCTGTTTTGCACTGGAGGCTGTTCTGGTTCTTATCTAGGTTGGAAAACCATCTCCAGGCCAGTTTCTCCCTGTGTTGTGCACCTCCCCAAAGCTCGCTTTGGCTCTGGAGCTATTTGCAAAGCCCAAAGTATCAACCTTTTCCCAAGGAGTCCGGCCAAATTTTACAACCGCCTCTGCTGATACCCTTGCTTCTGAATCGCGCAAAAGCCACGTCCATCTCAGCGCCTGTGCGTTCTGACTTTGTGTGTTTGGAAGTGGCGAAGCTTCACAGATGCCCCATTCGGCACAGACCAGGATTTTGGGAAGTGCCTTCTGCAGGTGGTAACGCGGGCTAGCCCCGGTACCCCGCGATGAGGTGGTGAAACAACTCACGAGAGCTCAGGAGAAGCTTTATGGTCCTGGTGGCTTTCCAAGGCAGCTGATGGACTAGCTTCGAAATCCTTTTTAACACAGCGGTCGGGCAGCTGACTAGGTATTTCTCAGAGTGTCTGGTCCCAAAATTTCTTCTTCTGCCAAGAGATCATACTTTTGTTGTACTAGTCCAGTTTTTAATGCCAACTGCCTGCCAAGCTTTCTCTGAACGAAAGCCCTCAGTGTGGTACGTAAGGCTTTAGTGCTTTACTGAGCATTAATCAAGATCAGTGGTATTGTGTAATTTACTGGAACTAAAGCTCTTCTTGAGCCTTTATCTGAGGGTAAAAGGCACTAGGAAGTCTCCTGGGTCAATGATGGCTAGAAGTGAGAAACAAATATCCCAAAGGCTAGAGCTCGGGTCAGGATTTCGGCAAACTTAGGCTGCAGCCAGCGGGAGTGAGGAGCAGGCTGGGATGCTCCCCTTGGTCACCTGAAGGTCTGCGCATTCAAGGGCATCAACGCGTGGCTTTAACAGAGCAGCTGGACTGGAAATGGCTTCTTCATTTTCACGTTTCCTTTAAGGTTTCTTTGCTATTTTTAGAACGCGTTCAGTGCTCGCCAGCTGCCTTGGACTCCACAAGAGAAGCTGAATGAACGCTATTTTCCACTCCCATTGTCTCTCCTTGCTAAATACTATTGCTGTCCTCATACTTTTATGACCGTGGGGTCGGTACTCTGCGCACACCACCACTCATGGCCCTACTATTATACTTTTGGCAGGAACATGTTAGGTTTTTATGGGAATTAAAAAGCAAGAGTGAGAGAGGAACCTGAACCAAAGACAACATAAAGGGCCTTTTTTTTTTGGGTAGGAGCCCAACAAAATGGTTAAATAGCTCAAAGTGGAACAGAAAACGCTCTCCAAGATGCTAAGCTGAGAGACACCACACTCCAGCAGTTATGCGGTGCCCCACGGAGAAAGGAAAGATATTCCAAGAGGAGATTGCAGTAAGAGGGGGATGGCTGCTGCCGAGCAGTTGACACCGCCGGTCGCACTAGGACAGTAAGTTGGCGCCCGCGTTGGAGAGTGTTTGTCCAAGACCAGCTGTGTTCATGGCTCTCCTCTTTCCCCCCACCCCTGCGTAACACACTCGTCCACTTCACTCCTGGAGTTTTCCCGTGCTGTGTTGCCTAAGAGAAAAACCACTGCTGAGAATGAATGGCATCATCACCAGGAGCTGGACCCCGGGTGTCTGCTCCGGGGTGGCCCCAGCTCCGTCTGCAGGCGCAGGGAGCAGAGGGTCCCACCAACAGCCCAGTGGCACGCGTCCTCCTGGGCTGTGGAAGGAGATGTCAGAACCCCAAAAGATCAGAAATAACTTTCTGAAGAAATAAAGGACTTGAAAAGAAAGTTAAACCTGAATGTTAATTTTAACCAGGTCCTACCGAACGTTGGCGGCTGGAGCACTGCAGCGTGCGTGCTCCTTGCAGCAGCGAGGAGAGATGAGCCCGGTGTGGGACTGGAATAGCTGTGAAATTCTGAGAAGTTTGGGTTTGGTTCCAAACTTTATCACCGACCGCTGCTGCTGCAGCGGCCAAACCAGCAGCTTTGATGTGAAATCCCAAACTCTGCAAGCATCTGAGTCTGAACGTTGAGGGCCGGTTACGTTGCCAATAACAGGCGGACTCTGTGTGAGCTCCGAAGTAACAGTGCGTGCTGGGGGCCGTGGAGAAGGAGTGATGTCCTTTTCCCTTCCCGTTTTAAAATTGATGCGGACTTCTCTAGGTAGCACCGTTCTCACTCCGAAGTAACAGTGCGTGCTGGGGACCGTGGAGAAGGAGTGATGTCCTTTTCCCTTCCCATTTTAAAATTGATGCGGACTTCTCTAGGTAGCACCGTTCTCCCCTTTGCTCGCGTGACAAAGGCGGTGTTGACGGGAGCTTGGCAATGTGCGGGATTGCTAATAGCCCGAAAGTTTTTTGCATGTCTGGATTGCCAGGTCACACTCAGACCGGGCTCTTTGTGGCTTCAAGGGTATTTTTTGTGGCTCTTTTGTGGCTCCTGTGACACAAATTTAGTGGCCAGCTAAGACTGACCTCCCACCAGTACCGCGAGCACCCCGGGTTTTCGCTAGCAGTCTCAGCAGAGAAGCCAAGCGGGGAGGAGCCGTGCTGGGTCCCGCGGGGCTCCCGGCAGAGCCGGGTGCGCTCCGGGCACATCCCCCTGCCCGGGGACCGTCCCTGCCGCGGTCCCTGCTCCCCAGGGGAACTAACCCCACACCTTTTCTGGCCACCCCTCTGTGCATACTCAGCTGGAGACTACAAGGATGGGAAGTTGTTGCTTCTCAGCTGGGAGATGAGCATCTTCCACTA